ATCATGATGTACATGTCGGGGTAGATGAGATATACAGGTGCACATACACATACATGCATACATGTAAACAGTGTGATGGAGCAAAGTGCAAATAAATAAGTATTATGCAGGTGTTATGTACTTGAGGTAGGTGTATTGGTATACAGTATATACAATATGACAATATAACCATATTGTATAACAGCTCTGAAATAGAGAATGATGAATAAATGATAAGTGGTACCCCAGTAAACAGGTGACTGATTAGAGACAAAGTTACTGGGTTATTGCACAGGAATTGTTCCTGACACTGTGAGGCAGAAATCAGCTGTTCATCAGAGTGATGGCTTGTGGGAAGAAACTGTTCCTGAGTCTGTTGGTTTTGGCGTACAGTGCTCTGTAGCGCCTACCAGAGGGGAGGAGCTGGAACAGGTTGTGTCCGGGGTGAGATGGATCTGCAGTGATGTTTCCTGCCCGTTTCCTGACTCTGGAAATGTCTTGAGAAAAAAAAAGTCCTGAATGGAGGGCAGGTTGGCACCGATGATCTTTCTGTATTCTTGACTGTCCGTTGTAGTCTGACCCTGTCCTGAAAATCAAATATAATGTATCATGTAATGAAATCAAATATTAAACCAAAGCTATTTTCCACTGCCAGCTTTCCTGGGGGTTTTTTCTGAACAGGTATCAGCAGAAACATTTTTCTTTTATCAGGGAGCAGCAGAAACAGTCTATTTTCTGTTAGAGTGAGGTGAAGTGGTCGAGCACAAGGGGTTGCAACAAGTGGGTGCGTTCCCGTGAAACTGTCGCGGTTGTGCACGTCTCACTCACACGCCCGTCACTGAAGTTGTCTTGAACTTTTTTTTACGCGACACGCAGCACAAATCATTGGAAGAGAGACTGATCCTGATCAGCAGGAGGGAATTCATATGGCAGAGCATCCCCGCAAAACTAGATGAAGACCTATCAGGTAAAGTTATGTAGCCTATAATTTGAATTTAAGTTAAACTGGCTACAGCTGTGTAGAGCACAGAAGCCGTTCCCAAGTTACCATCAATAGAGCGCCTGCCGTTTACTCGCGGAGAGCTTGTCTCCCCTGTCTGTCTGATCAACCCCGTGGGGCCAAGCGACTACGTTGTGATTTTAAGAACGTTCCTAAGACAGACATCTTCCCCAATACTAATCAGCATGCAGTGTGTAGCTATCCACTTCACTGTGGCATTTGATCGCTTGTCTTGCTTTTGTCTATACTTCTCCCACACGCTGCATCCAACAAAGTCTGCTGAAGCCTCCCTCCACTGCTTGTTTGGGTGTGTGATTTGCAGGCTGATCAACACCTGTGACCCATGGTTTGACTGTATGTGTATTCAGAGCCAGTGAACAGCGGACTTTCAAAATAATAATTAAAAATAAAACTGTTAATGTGCGATAAAATAATTGTCTGCGTTAATTAATGCGCTAATAACATGTTAACATGCCCAGCCCTATTATTATTAATTATAAAAGGTAAAAGAACACAGTTTAACAGTACAGACAATTTATAAAAACTTCAGGTATAAATCGAGATTGTGAATCAAACAGATAGCAGCATACTACACACACTTTACACACTGGGTTTACCACACACAACAAGAGTACACACTAGTACACACAAGTGTTTTTTATTTGTTTCAAGTGCAGCTTCTTTACAGTTTTTCCCGATAGCTAACACACTAGTGAATGTTGAATGCTTAGCCCAAAGCATGAAAACCTTAGCTTTTGCAACTGTGGCGAGGCGAATAGTTTGCGGCTCCCGCTAAGAAGCCTGGCTTTGACCCTACTGCAAATTTCTAAGACATTAAACCAACAACAACACCTGGGGAATTTCAACCCAAGAAATATAATTCAGCAACACTGATAAATGAAGGCACACAGGTTTCTCTTACTTTGAGGAGAGAGGGTCAGAGACGTTGTTCCATTCACAACGCAGTTCCTTTTCTTTTTAAAAGGCTTTTCCCAACACGCATACTGTTAAAAACATACAGAACTGCGAGAAAACCACTATTAAGTCAATGAAAAGCAAAATCTGTTAGTTCAACAAAAAAAAGCCCTGTTCATTTAAATCCAAAGCAAACAACAGATATTTACAACGGAAATAAAGTTTCTTTCAAGGGAAAGAAAACAAAATAAACAAAACAAATTATTAACAATATTTACATCATGTCTAGACGCACAAAAAAGCCTCATGGAGCCATTGCCTAAACCCAACAGGAAGTCGGCCATTTTGGATTCAATCGTCATTTTTCCTATGCAGTCTAAACCCATTGACGATTAAAAGTTGTGCAAATGGTGAGTTTTCGTGAAACGGCATGCCTGTGGCGTGGTGTCCAAAATCGATGATTCGCCATAAAACAGGAAGTTATTGTAACTTCAGACTACATGCTCACATCTGCACAAAATTTTGCATACATTATAAGAGTCCCACCCTGAAAACATCCACATGCCAATATTCACTCAGTCATAGCGCCATCTGCTGGCAACAGGAAATGACACGTTTTACCCTGTATATGAACATATGAACTTCAAAACTGTCCCAGGAAACCCTTAACACATTGATGAGGCCATGTTGTAAAACTTGTGAATTTTCGGTTTACGACTTGGCAGTGGCGTGGCGGCGAAGTGCCATGCTGCACCATGACACAGGAAGTTGTTGTAACTTTACTGTAGATGCTCAGATCTGTACGAAATTCTACACGTTTAATAAGAGTTCCACCCTGAACACATGTACATGCTGACATTCACCCACAGTCATAGCGCCACCTGCTGGCAACAGGAATTGATCTTTAAACGAAGCAGCCCCCACAGCACGTTTGACCTATATGTATGAAATTTCTGTGGCACATGTATCATGTCCAGACGTACCAAAAAGCCTCTTGGAGCGATGCCCTAAACCCAACAGGAAGTCGGCCATTTTAAATTTTATTGTCATTTTGTATTATTTACAGGCTCCGTACTTTAACAAACTCCTACAGAATTAGTCTGACCAGCTTCAGGTTGTCGCTGTCTACTCTAAACCCGTTGACGATTAAAAGTTGCACAAATGGTCAGTTTTCGTTGAATGGCATCCAAAAATCGATGATTCGCCATGAAAGAGGAAGTTGTTGTAAGTTCAGCACCAAACTTTACAAGCTTGATAACAGTCCCGCCCTGAACACATCTACATACCAATATTCAGTTGTAGTCATAGCACCAAGTGCTATGTAGCGCCATAAAGGGGACACAGGAAGTGATGATTAACACATTTGTGCAGCGTTCCGAAGCGCATGGCAAATTCACAGCTGCACAGGCAGAGCTCCAGACTCTGAAACGTGGCCACCTCAACGTGCTACATGTGCGAGGGCCCGCCCGACGCTTTTTAAATATTTTTATTTTATTTTTAAATATATATATATATATATATATATATATATATATATATCTATCTCGATCTCATTAGTCGGGGACAGCCCTAGTCCACACTAACAGTGAGCCTGGGATACCAAGTAACCCAAATTAACAGCTTGCAACACTATTATCAATGACCACACATGAGCGCATTTACTCTTACCACTGAAGCAGCTGTGCACATTGCTGCGCACAGTGATGTGGGTGCTTGGTGGCAGTAAGAGGAAGGGGCCATGCCACCCTTTATACCTTCCTGCTTCCTGTTTAACCATTACCTGCCATCTGCTGACCCTGCCCACACCTGTCAATTAACACAGCAATGGGCCTCTAACCTCATGCTGCCACACAACCATGCTTACACAGAAGGCACCAAAAGGACAAACACAATTTCAGCAAAACATTACACACAGTTTCTCACATTACGTTTTATTAAAAAATACTGTAATAATGCAAGTTCAAAGTGAAAAGTTTTTAGTCAGATTACATAAAAGAGATCAGACACCTGAACGGCAGTAAAACAAAGTGAACAGTGCACCTTTGTTTATATTACTGTGAGTAGTAACAACGTTAGCTGTCGGCTAACTGTAAGCCCGCAGCGTTACTTCTACAGGCTACACACAGCAATATAAACAACTGTGCCTGTTCTCTTCAAGTCGTTCTTATAAAATACATCCAGCAACCTACAACAAACACACCGCTGCAATCACGGATATGAGGTTGTCAGGTGAAAGGTCATAATGTGGGTCATTTTATTACGGCTAAATTATTATTCATTCATTTACCAATACTTACATTAGGCAGGCCTTCACAAATTCTTTTTAAATAAATAGCCCAAAGGAAATGTTGCTTTGACAGAAGGGCACTTCCCAATGGGCAAAGGGGCAGGTGCTCAAGTAGTGTTTTGGGGCTGCCACACTAGCCGCTAGGTGAGAATTATGCTGTGTGTTACATAGTGACGCAGAGAGGTTACTGAAGTAAAGGCTGGACTACAATCCAGCAGTGTTTTCAGTGGGAGATGGGAACTCCCTTTGGGCTGGACTTTGGGCTTTTTCAGTTTGCAAACCTGTTACATGCACAAAGAATATAACACAATAAAGGAGAGGGGAAAAGCCAAAAAGAACAATACCACCTCTTTAAATAGTAAATGAACACCAATCAGTCACAGCTGTAGCACTACAGATAGACCTCAGGTAAGCTGCCCTCTTTCTCCACATTTGTCAATCCAACTGAGGAAGTCTTTTCAGCAACCACATGCCTGCATGTCTCTTCTGCAAGCAATGGAGGAGGCATGTGGAGACATTCAGGTGGGGTCAGACCACGGTTGGATACACAACACACAAGATGATATTTTCTCCGCTGCCCGACCAGGGAGGACGTTGCATGTTATGTGGAGGAGGTGATGTGGCCAGACCCTAATAGAAGGCGTGATCCATAAAGCTATCTGCACGATCCTTTACACAAGTATTTCTCTTTGCCAGTCCACTATCATTTTGCTTTTTTTATTGCTGTTGTACTGATTACTGTGCTGGGATTGTCTGTCTGTTTTTGTAAAAACATGTAAAGAAAAAAAAAAAATTCCTGAAGCTGTTCCATTTTTGTGTTTATTGAAATGTGAGTAGATTTACTAAACAATCTTTCCCAGAGATCTGTTTGATGAAATAAAAAAAAGTCTACAAAGCACTAAACATTTTTGTGTTGAATAATGCTCAGTGTGTTGCTGCTGCTGTGAATGTTTAAGAAACATGATGCATGTTTCCATTGATCCAAAAATGCCCTTTTGAAAAAAGAAGTGCTAGGTTTTGATTGCAGAAATTTGAAGTAGAAGTGAGTTTATCTCCAGGTGTTGTTTCTTATTTGGCTTGTGTGCAGAGTTTAGACACAGTGGGTCAAATTCTGCATTTTGTGTGTAACTAACCAGGAATTGGTCAGGAAACTGATTTTGGTGGAGGAGTGTGGTGGCAGGCTGACTGGCGAGGCACGAGGGAGAACCGTGTGGGGGAAGTCCGAGGGGAGAGGGCAGGTGGGCGAGCTCAGCTGACTCGACGGAGGTGAGTGAACCTGGGAAAAGGCAGACAGACACAGGGAAAACTAAGGGAAACAGAGATGATGCAGGTTTCTCAAGGGCAAAGTGGCACCAGGTTTGGAGCAACGACGATCAAGCAGCGATTGTGTGGAGAACTGGGGTTGAAATACTGGCAGGGATGGAGTTGATTGCTGGCAGGTGTGGCAGGCGGAGGAGGTGGCTGACGAGGTGCGGGTGCGGACTGTCAGCTGGGCTCAGGAGCAGAGAGAGAGAAGGAGAACACAAGCAAGGGGAGCAGAGGCGACAGACAGGCAGGCCAAAACACAATCACAAGAAAAAGAAATAAACAGGACACTCACCGTCAGCCGGGCTGCCACCACAACACTCTCCTATGTATTGTGATTGTTGCGTCCTCTCCTCTGGCTCCTCCCAGCTCCCCTCATGTTCATCTCTGTTTGGATGCTACTTACTCTGATTAGCGTCTGAAATGACCTCTTCCATGATTCCATGAGTATTCCATAAATACTCTTTTATCGCAGTTAAGGAGCTGATATTTGTGTCTCCTGTTTAAAGGCAGTAGATGCTCTCAGCTGTGTGTGTGTTGAGTTATTTGTCACAAACAGCAGGAGGCGGCTGCCTCGTTAGCTCCATGTGCTCTGGGGAAATTCACTCCTGTAACTTGTGTCAGTCGACTTTTCTTTCCGCAGTTGTCAGCCAATTATCAGAAGCCGACAGCGCAGCAGCTGCCTGTCTGGGTGAAGATGTGTTGGCCTGTTTTAGGAAACCTGTTAAGTTGTGTCAGGATGATTCAACACCTCTGATTTCCTCCTGTAAGATACAATGTGGTGTCAGTCATGGCAGAGAGTAGAGTTGCTGCAACAAGTCCAAACAGATGGTTCTTACATTTTGGTATTTTTAACACAAGTTATACAAAGTGCCTGGTTCAAACTTTCTTATTAAACCAACCAGGTTTACCAGAAGGAACACATGTTAAAATTGAGATTTGAAATGAAACAAATTACCAATTCTAAGAGTCAGTAAAATCACTAAGTCCTGTTTTTTCAGTACAGCATTGATATCATAGAATTACTTGGTAAAGACCAACAATACATCTAAAAGAAAATGATATAAGACGTTTTGAATGTACTTTAAAGCAAAAACTGTTAAAGACTCAGGGTCCAGATGTATAAATTCATGTTCCGGCTTAAAGATTCTGAAAATCAAATAATTTTGAGCTTGATAAACATACGGCTAAATATTACACACTACCAATCCCATATGTGGAAACATTGGTACAGTACTTTTAGTTGATGGTTTATTATGGTGCTTTTTTTTTGTGGTTCTCCCCCACGTGCACATTTTTATTCTAGTACACCAGACCAAACAAAAACATTATTCTGTCCCAGCATCCCTCATAGTCATACCATGGATAAGGACATGGTCAACTAGAACAGGACATAGTCAGTTAGACCAGGACATAGTCAACCAGAGTGGCATGAATTTTTAACCGAGATGGCTTGTCACCTTGCACTTCCTCTTCGTTCTCTTCCTACTACTCCTTCCTCCTCCTCCTGTCTGGTTTCCTCATCCTCCTTCACGTCTCTCTGGATCCATTGTTCCAAAACTGAATGAAGTGGCCCTGTTATCTCTTGAAGGTTCTGATGGGTGTGGGACACTTAATTGGGTGCTAATTGAGCTCATGCTGTGTTGACTTAAGTGAACAATATTGAATGTTAGTGTTTTCTAAATGACCACATGGTGCAGGCAGTGAGAAATGAAGGGGTGTGTGTAGAGTTTTGCATCAACAGTTCAACAAATCTGAATCGTGTCAAAACCAAGGGGGTAAGCCACAGCTGAAACAGTGAAGCCGACCAAAGCCTGCATGCAGGCCCAAAAATGACGTCAAAACCCTGTGACATTCCGTCGCCCATGAGATGTAACTGTATTGGTTAGATTATAAACTCTCAGTGAAGCTAAAACATCAGTGACGCTACTTTGATGTTTACAGGTGAGCCTCGTAGGTGCGCTGATTAAACAGTGACAATTCGAGTCAGTCAAACACACTGAGCCAAGAAACTTTTGTTTGTGCAGCTATGCAGCTACCAGAATTACGGTGTTTCTGCTGTTGTTCTACGTCATTAAACCACAGTTATGCTGCGCGATCGTGCGCAGTAGATGCTGGTGCCAACAGCCCTGTAGCCTAGTTGTATTTATTGGTCCAAAACTGGCTTCACTGCTCTCCATTCAAACCAGCAGGGTGGCTTTGTCCAGTAATATACTGTCTATGGTCAAAACAGGGAACAGCGTAGAGAAATGGGTGTGCTTTTTGATAAATGGCGTTCTGGTCTGGAAGTTTTAGTTCAGACGCTTCAGTTTATATCATTTGTTGCCCGATAGCAAATGTTCTGAGGCCCAGTACCAGTATGGAACCCAGGGGATCGAAAATACACCATCTGCTAGAAAATAACCATGACACCTTCTTGTATCTTCTGTTTCCATGGTTATGATGCAAACAGGAACTGCAGGTGTAAACAGCTGAAGCATGACGGTGACAAAAACTAAAAATATATCCAGACAAAATAGAAAAAGAAAAAACAATGAGAGGGAAAAAATACATCTTTTCCCACTACAAGCACATTTTATAATGAACTAATGTGCCCAAAATGTCCCATCATTATGTCCTGGAACATGAACCAGTGATGAATAACCTAAAATAACAATACATGCATGCTTAAAAAGTAAAACAAAAAAAAATTTGTTGGCTTGAAAAAACATATCATGGTAGCAAGTAAGATAAATGAGTGGTATTGTGAGTGTTTCAGAGCTCTCCCTGTGGAGAAATGAAGTGCTGTATAAGTCGTGAGAAGGTGGGAGCCAGCTCTCACTTCACTGCCTCCGCCCACTGCCAGCACCCGAGGGTTACATCACATTCATGTGATTTAAACAATTAAAAACCAAAAGATGCCATGACGTGGTAGTTACACCTCGTGCCTCTTACTGCAGCGCTGACTGCTGTTGTGGGCAGGAGGCTGCAGGGCACATGATGGCTGCAGAGAGAGAGACACAAAGGAAACAGGGAACAGTGTGATGACATGTGGTAAACAGAGTATGTTCATTTTCTCACACTCTTAAATGTCTCCAAGAGAGCAGAAAAGACAACTAAAAGAAATAGAGCTTCGGTTTTGCCACTTTGACTTGATAAGCTGATACATTTGGTGCAGTGCAGATTTAAAGCTGCACTAATCAATATCTGTATCAAAGAGAGAACAGGCCTTGGAGAGACTTTCACCCAGGAGACCGGTGCTTTTAGTTACATGACTTAACTCACATAAGTTATGTCACAAAACTAACATAGTTATTTTACACCTGACCAGAAAAACAACACTACAGGTCGTTTGTGCAGCTCATTATTACGACCCATATTAACGTTTATTGTGGCAGCGACCTTATTTGCCTCACAACGGTAGTTAAGGAGGAAGTCGGGTAACGTATTATAAATAGACAAAGTCCGTCCAACGAGGCAGGACGGGTCAGACCCGGGACTTTCAATCAGGAATATGCTTTTCGAGTTCCGTGTGAAACCAAGTAATTGTTTAGTTATTTTGAGCTTTAAATTATACTGAATTATGGACAGATTACGTCACGAGTTATGTAATGTACTTACTTTAACCCAAACCATGGCATTTACCTAAACCAAACCAAACGGCGACTGTTTACAACATTAACCACCTGTTTAATGTCATGTGATGTAGGTCACGTGACTTATGTATCGTAGTTAACACATGTTGTTTTGAGAGGCAAGGATACACGACCTGCGATGTCGACTTTTAACTAGGGCTGGGCATGTTAGTGCATTAATTAATTAACGCCAACAATTATTTAATGCCCGTAATGCAATTTTAATTATTTTTTGAAAGTCTGTTTGCTCACTGGCTCTGAATACCCATACAGTCAAACCATGGGTCACAGAAGGGGTGGGATGTTGATCAGCCTGCAAATCACCTTCCCAAACAATCAGTGGAGGGAGGCTTCGGCTAACTAGCTGCCTGCATCGTGTGTAAAATAGATAAACAAAAGCAAGACAAGCGATCAAATGCCACAGTGAAGTGGATAGCTACACACTGCATGCTGATTAGTACTGGGGAAGATGTCTGTCTTAGGAACGTTCTTAAAATCACAACATAGTCGCTTGGCCCCGTGGGGTCGCTCTTTGCTCCGGTGATCAGGAGATAAGCGCTCTGCGAGTAAACGGCAGGCGCTCTATGGATAGTAACCATGGCAACAGCTTCTGTGTGCTACACAGCTGTAGCCTATTTAACTTAAGTTAAATTATAGGCTACATAACTTTGTCTGATAGGCCTTCATCTAGATTTGTGGGGATGCTCTGCCGTGCGAATTCCCTCCTGTTGATGTCCTATTTAGTTAAACGGTGATAGATTCTGGAAACTCACAAACAGCGAGGATCAGTCTCTTCCAATGATCTGTGCTAACAGGGACACTTACTGCTGAACACACAACAAATGTTTCTACCTGAAAACAGATTTATATCTGTTAACCTGTGGCTCAGAACGAGCCTGTTATGATGTTCTAGCAAACAGCTTTGGTTTAATATTTGATTACATTAATGTTCAAGTTGAGATTTACAAGAAATATTTTATTGCTACTGTGTAAAGGGAATACTGCTGGGAAAAAGATTTGTTTAAACTGTTTGCAAAACACATGTTATTGCACTTTTGTGGATCATTATTCAATTTTGCGCATAACAATGCGATTAATCGCGTTAAAAATTTTAATTGTTACCCAGCACTACTTTTAACCCATGATCTTTTCCTAAACCTAACCTTAACAACTAGTTTTATTTTGAAAGTCTAATCTGACGTTGCATATTTATTTTTGACTGCAGAGCCTTACACGTGCAAAAACAACGCTAAAGGGCGTTAAAAAGCGCTGATGAAAGTGATGAGACAGGAAATAAGAGCTTCGTGTCCACCAGCTCCTGAAGGAAACAACTGCCTCTTTAGCTGCTAAATGCTCCACTATGTTCGCCAGCTGCGCAGTTTAGTTCCTCTCTGGAAACCAGACTGAACCAAAACAACCAGCTGAAAGAGGCCAAAAGGCAGAGTTGCAGTCTGTGATAACTCTCAGTGGGTTTGTCACTGCGAGTGAATTTTGATTAGAGCGTCTGTAAAATTTGGTGTGCAGTATTTATTTGGGGTGAACAGTCTCATATCATGTGATGAGCCACTATCTTACTGCAGTGTAAGTGTATTAAACAAAAACCTTCTCGTGTTATAAATCATTGCAGTAAGAAAAATCGGCTCACCACAAACCCCCTTATCTGAACTGTACAACCATTGTGTGATCAGGAGAACCACCCTGATCACAGAGGACCCCCATCACCCTCTCTCCATCCCCTCCAGCACTCTTTCCAGT